ATGGAGTTCAGGGTTTGGTGTTTATTTGCTGGGTTTGTTTCAAATTTTCTTCACTATGTCCATCTACTCCCTCTTGGGATGGTAATGTGTACTTCGTACAATGTGCCAATGTATGTTGGTAGCATGGGCCTTGTTTTTATTTTCATAGAACTTACAGTTAAGAGATGTCCTTGAGTCTCAGTTGAGATGTGGGCTTCAGACTTCTGAACAGTTGTGGACTCTTGTAGACTATGGGGCATGTGAGGCTAGACCGAATGCATTTTGCATCACGAGACAGCCCCGAGCCTATTGGTACCACAGGCAGACTATTGTGTTGAACATGAAATGTACCTCTTAGGTTCACATGATTGAATCCTTGTTCTCTAACTGGTTGTGTTGTTTGAGAAGCTTGTGGAGGAAGTGGGTCTTTGGGGCCAGGTCTTGAGACTTCATAGCTGAGTCCCATATCCTGTTCACTCTCTGCTTTCTGAATGTGGACATAATGTGACCAGCTATCCTTCTCCACCTACTACCATGACTAACTACCCTGCGTGCTGTCATGACTTTGACAGATGTTGGACTGTATTCCTCTGGAACTGTAAGTCAAAATTAACTCGTTCTCTCAAGTCGTTTTAGCTCTATTTTATCACAGCAGTGAGAAAGTAGCCAAGGAAAGTAGCTGTTTGCTTTTGAACAGGAGTTGGTAATCACTGGAGATCACCTGCAATACACTTGACAGTCTTCCCTCAAGGGTTCAGGGAAAGCCTCTGTCTTCTTGCTAGGGAATTAGAAAGATGTCTTAGGGACCTAGTTTATCCACAAGGAATCATTCTAGAACATATAGATGATCTTTTGATATGGATCCCTCCTAGGAAAATTTCAAACCAAAATACTATTAGTATCTTCAACTTTCTAGCCTCTTGTGGTTCCCAGGTCTTCTAGAAAAAGACCCAGACAACTCAGCAAAAGCTACCATATTTGGTCTGTATCTCAGCTTCTGCAGCACAATGGCAATCTCGTTGTAGCTTTGAGTCACTATTGGACCAGGTACACCAAAGATAAAGATTTTCTTTGCTCCTTTGCAGGGACACTGGATGTTGTTGAATCTGGGTTCTCACATTTACATTAAGGCGATAACTCTATGAGACTATCAAGAATGCAGACTTGGGCTCCCTTAACTGGGAGGGTCAACTGGAAGAACCTTCTAACCAGTGAAACAGGTTGAAAACCAAGACCTTGCCCTCAGGACATTGATTCTAACAGATGTGGAAGAATGTGGCCTGCAGTATATTTTTTAAAGAAATTAGATGTTGCAGCATCGGGATGACCCCCTGTCCAAAAGCTCGGGTAGCCACAGCACTGCTAATTGAAGATGCTTCCAAGCTGTCTTTGGAGGCGATGATTAGAAGCTCTCATACCCCAACAGGTGAAGTCTACACTAGAATTAAAGGGCTATATATGGTTAACTGGAAGTAGACTAATAACCATCAGAGGAGCTTCCTAGACAACCAGAGGGAACTATCAAAACCTGTGTTAGCCCAAATCTTCTTCACTTGTGCTCCTGGAAGTGACTTCCTGTGTGGTACATTGTATGCTGAGACTATCTCCTCCACTTGTGCTAGCCAGGCTGACTCAGGATCAGCCCCTGGGCAATTTGGGGAGGGTGCAGTGGAAACTGTTTCCTGATTAGGGCAATTATCTTCCAGTGGAAAGCACAAGACAGCATAGTCAATGGTCACCCAGAGAGCAATAATTGCATCTGCCACATTATCCTCTCTGATTCTGAATCCAAAGACCATACTAAACTGTAATATTGGGACTCATTCTAGGGCAAGAAAGAGAAAAGATTAGTATCTACACTGCTTTTAAATATGTCCTCATGATGTTGCATGCCCATGCTTTCATTTCTGGAGAATTTGAACAAGGTTAACAGCCAACAACTCACCCACAAAACATAAACAAGAGATGCTAAATCTATTGGAAGCTATCTGACCTCCAGGGCCAGTCATCTACTGGAAGGCCATCAGAAGGACATGTCTGATAATACCCAAGGAAATAGGCTGGCACACAGAGAGTCAAAGATCGCCTGAGGGTGAGCACTGCTCCTTCCAAAGACGTAATGTAAAACCAAATGTGTGTGATTCCTCCAGGTCACAAAGCACAAAGGGACAACTGAACCTGGCCAGGGACCAATGTGGGGAATAAAACACTTTCCCTTCCAGGTCCTCCAGTGAAGACAATTCAGGGGACGCATGTCTCATTCCATCAGGGAGGATGCTCCTCTAGAAATGGGGACTCGACTCTTCCTGGGGTAGAGACTGACCCCAGTAAAGCATGTGTGTCAGACCTACACTCTTCACAGCTCTGCTGCCCCCATCCTCTGCCACCCCTCAGACAAACCCAGAGGAGAGGCCCCTGTTCCTGTGAGGACTGACAGAATGTACTCCTTTGTATCCTCGGGCCAGCTTCAAATATGTGTTAGTGTTTGTACACACCGTCACTGGCTAGATAAAAACTTTACCCACTGGGGCTGAAAAGACCACAGAGGGAGAAATGTCCCCCTAAGGGACAATATCCCATGGTTTAGTCTCCCCTGGTCATTAGAGTCTTTAATGGACCTTCCTTTCGACCACAGGTGACTCAATCTATGTCCAGGACTCGAGGGATAAAATATTACCTGCACTCTGATTGGAAGCCCCAAGCCTCAGGCGGTGTTGAAAGGTTTAACCAAGCTCTTAAACAGATCCCAGCAAAACTTTGCCAAGAAACCTCTGAAACTGCTCCCATTTCCCACAGAAGAGTTAGAACAGCTCCACAAAATGACACCAAGTACAGCCCTGTTGATGTGTAGGAGGCTTTTCCTTCCATGGGATCTGATATTAGGCTCTGAGGCCAATCAGATAACTCAGTACAGCACTCTATGAACTGGGGTCAGGTCCAATGAGCACTACAGGAATATGGGAACAATGTTGTACACACCCAGTCTCGAGGGAGCTGGATTCACCTGGTAATATCCACAGAACAGTTGACTGCTTTGTGGAAGGGACCTTACCAGGTGGTCCTGAGAACCCCAGTGACTGTCAAACTGCTGGATGTTAACAGCTGGGTATATTTTCAAGATTAAACCAGAGCTGCCAAGCCCGAGACCCCACCCACCTGAAGTCAGGGAGGAAAACACCCTGATCCGATGAAAGCTCTCAAACTTCTCTTCAGGGAACAGAGAGAGGACTAGTGAGATGGCTCAGCAAATAAAAGCCCTGCTACGGAGCCTGATGAACTCCATTCGAGCTCCAGAACCCACATGCTGGGAGGAGGGAACCAACTTCTGCTAATTGTCCTTTGACTTCCATACATGTGCCATGACATGTGTGCGTCCCCTCTCCCCAACAATCAATGCATGAGGGCTTGCTTATTCTGGCAAAATGGAATACTTTCTCCTGCTCAAACAAAAGAAAATTCTTGATGTTGATTCTCCTGCATTTATTATTTTTTCTTATTCTGTAAGGGATAAGAAATCCCTGTGTCCTGTTTTAAACAAGGTGACTGATCTGGCCAATTCCTCTGATTGCTGGCTTTGTCCTAAGCTAAAAAAAAAAAAAAAAAAAAAAAAAATGGAGTATCCATCCATTAGAGGCTCCCAGTCAGTATGTAGGATTTGGTCCACACAAAGAAACCATCAACAGTGAGGAGATATTGCCCAAGACTTAAATTCTCAAATTGGAACATTATCTCTCAGGATGTGACTGAGCTAGAAGGCCACATGAATTTCTTGTTCGGGGGTGTGTGTGGGGTGAGGTTTTTTTTTTTTATCATTTTGTTGGAAGTGGAACATTTATAGGGATGCTCAATGCCTCCCTGTGCAATTTGTATGGAAAAGAAAAAATGAGGACCACAGGGGGAACCAGAGACTGTGAGGACTCAGGCTATGAGTCTTCTTATCTGAACTTCTTGGATCCTGGGCAAATTGATTTCCTAGTAACCATTCTGAATCTGCCTTATTGACTGACATGCTGGGGAAAGGCCTGTTCATTTCTCTCTCAGAATAGCAGCCTTTTGTTCCTATGCCTTCACAGCAAAGGCTACCCAAGACACGTCCCACAATTCACTCTCTCACCATTGTCATTTGGAACCTGGCCTGCCAAGGTCCCCACAGGAGCATCGCTTCCCCTCCAGTGTGTAAGGACCATTATTTCTTTAGAGACTATACCTCTTCTGTTGAGTGTTGGGGGACATGGAAACCTGCATCTCACCTCAAACCTTTCTTATATTTTTGGTTGTGAGCCTAGCCTTTAACGGCTGAGCCATCTCTCCAGCCCTCCTCAAACCTTTCTATATCTGTATCTTTGAAATACATCTGGGGTCAGGGACCACCTACTACTGTAAGCTTACAGCACATTGAGTACTTCTTATGTAGAACAAGGATACTTTCTGTCCTGCCTAGATGGAAAGTGGATGTTATATTGTGCCATTCGGTTGTGAGGTATCCACCAGAGAAGACCACTGGGATTCAGATTCAAGCCAATAGAAAGCCTCTTTGCTAATAAACACGGAGTGCTGCTGGCACCGGAGTTCAGTCCTGAGTCTTTCTCAGGATGAGCTTTTTTTTTTCTTTAAAGATTTATTTATTTTTATGTGCACTGGTTTTTTGACGGCATGTATGTCTGTGTGAGGGTGCCAGATTTCTTAGAACTGGAGTTACAGACAGTTGCCAGCTGCCATGTGGGTGCTGAACATTGAACCCAGGTCCTTCGGAGGAACAGCCAGTACTATTAACCCCTGAGCCATCTCTCCAGCCCCAAGGATGAGCTTTTAAACACACAAAAAAATACACATCCTGGCCTGACACACCTCAGTAAGAACCCTCAAACGGAAGAAAAACTACAGAAGCCAAAATGCACGCAGACAGACAGACAGACTGGTGGGCAGGCAGGTAGGCACGCACGCACGCATGCACGCACACACACACACAGATATGCAGAGAACCAGATGAGTATGCAAAGGTGTTTATTGAGTAGAAAACATCTGTTCAGCTACATTTGAAGGGAGTCAGGGACAGGCTTCACAAGGACAGGTGCTCATGGCAGTGCAGACAGAGGAATTGGATCTTCACTACTACGGCCGTGGAACTAGCAGATACAGAGCAAAGACACAAATGCTGGTACAGGAGCTAAAATATCCAATCCAAGTGAACCGGAACCACTGGATAGGTACGATTGTCCTGTGGAGTTCTATAGTCACAAGCCACTCTGTAGAACTTCCTTGCCTGTGTCGTTTGGTATTGGCATTGTGTATAATTTACTCCTGGAGCTGTGAGGTTACAGAACGTTAAGGATACCTGTGTTGAACTATTATGACAATTGGTAAGACCATTACGACAAGTGGTATTCATACGGCCACACACACCAACAACAGCGGCAAAGCTTGTATGAAGAAAACTGTTCAAGTTCTTGCATCGTCCTGTATGCCGGTTAACACTCCTCATTGCAGCAGTACATCGGGGGCTGGTCATAATTACATGCTGGATTTCAAACCACTGGGACGGGGTTAAATACGGTGGGATCTGGAATGAGGCCTTGTCAAGCATTAGGACAAGTCCCAGCAGCGTCAGGAGACAAAGTCTGGACTCAAGCAGCTTCACACCCATGTTTCCTGTGAGAACAGAAGAGCAGTGAGTACTCTCCATCTTGGCTCACTTTTTCCTAACTCCTCCTGAAGGCCCTCTGCTGGTGCTGTGGGCTCACAGTTCCCTTTCTCCTGGACACTGCCCATCCCTGCCCCTCCTGTCCCAGTCTTAGAGCTCAGTGTCTTACCCAGTCTGTGTTGTGGCTCCTGTGAGAACACAAGGCTTGTTGTCCTGGAAATCAGGGATAACGGGGGAGCTCCACTTGGGCCCATACATATAGAACAGCCCTGTGGGTGGAGCTGGCAGAGCCAGGTGGCTGGAGTCTTCAACATGCAGAACCCACAGACTGGCACATCACCTCATTGTGCAACCAGCCTTCTGTTTCTTCACTTGGCCAACCAACGGATGCCCAAACAGCAGTGCTGTGAGCTCTGCTGTAAGGAATCTAACTCCAAGTCATCTTGCATAGGGCAGTTTGAAGTCTGACTATGAATTCTGCACAAAGATCTGTGTATCCCCTGCCGACTGACTGCAGATTTTGTGACTGTGACCATGTTACAGACAGACCAAGGTTCCTGATAGCCTAGCTAGGTACTTAGAGAAAACAGAGCCTTGGAAAGCCAGATTACTGAGAGATATTTACATTTCTGCCCTCAATTTTAAAATCATATGATGTTGAGGACTGGAGAAAAGCCTCAGTGGTTAAGGGCACTTGCTGCTCTTCCAGAGGACCTAAGTCTGGTCCCAGCACCTATGTTGGATGGCTTACAACTGTCTGTAACTTCGTTTCCATGGAATCACAGTCCTCAGATAGCTTCTGTTGGCGTGTACGTACACATGTATACAGACCCTCAGATACACACAAATAAAACTAGATCTTAAGGACCGGTGGGATGGCTCAGTGGATAAGGACACTTCCGGCTCTTCCAGACACCTGTTCCAGAGGACTCAAATTTGTCCCCCAGAGCTCACAACTGCACAGAACTCCAGCTCTGACACCTTTTTTGGTTTCTTTTAGTACCTGCACACATGTTTCAAACACACACATATACATATATGAGATACACATACACACAAAACCCACACACACTCATACCAACACTTAAGTTAAAGTAAATTTCAAAAACTGTATTCAGAAACAATAACAAAAATTGTGCTAATGCATGCCACATAATATTTTTCTGATTATTTCCTGTATAGATTCCTTTGCACATTTCAAACTACCCATATCTGCCTCAAGAACTAGTATAAATGGTCTAGTTTTACATCAAGGACCTTCAGGAGAACACCTCTTTATCTAGTATTCATGAGTAACTATAACCCGAAGTTAATCAAAATAAACTAAATGTTCATGTGAATTTGTATGTGTTTGTCTTTGTTCTGGGGCTTGAACCTGGGCCTTGTGAACTCTAGATAAATGTTCTGACACTGAGCTACACTCCCAGTGCAACATGGATGTGAGTTTTGGCTTCAACAGAATAAAAACCCCTATAATTCCTTTGTTATCAAAACCTCCCTTGCATTCCAATCAGTGGCACATTTCCAGATGTTGTGAAGTACACCCAGAATTATACCCTAGCAGTAAGTAGTTTTTTTTTTAACTTGATGAATGTCATAAGGCATATCAAGAAATACTTCCACACTTGTCATAAAGACCACAGAATTTTGTTGTCCCACTTGGAAGACATCTCTGTGTAGATTCCACTGGAGAGAGCAGGTGTCCAGCACTTGGAATTTCTTCCACCCTGGGATACTGTGGCAATGACTGCTCTTAACCTGCTGACTGGCAGATGCCCAGTGTCAGCAGAGTCTTGACCACAGCTCTGCCAAGTGCAGGGCTGTCCATGGAAACGACAGTGCACAGCATTTACAATATTGTCATAATGACCTGTTTTTAGGGACTCATCTTTTGGGGGTGCTTAGGAAGTGTTGAGTCAGGGTCTCACTCTGTAGCCTAGGTTTGGTTTAACTTTCTTGGAAGCCCAGAAGGGATTCCAAATTGCCATCCTTCTGCCTCAGCCTCTCGAGTGTTGGGGTTATAGACTTGCACCCTTCATACCCAGCTTATGAGCCAGTTTTTAAATATCTCTGAAAGACTCATGTAATAAATGCTTGTCCACAGCCTGTGCTGCTGTTGGTGGATGGTAACCTTTGGAGACAGGACTCAGCAGATAGAAGTCAGGACACTGTGGGCGAGTCCTTGAAGGTCATATTGGGACCCCAGGTGCCCTTTTCTGCCCCCTTTCTTTTTTTTTTTTTTTTTTGGTTTTTCGAGACAGGGTTTCTCTGTGTAGCTTTGCGCCTTTTCCTGGAACTCACTTGGTAGCCCAGGCTGGCCTCGAACTCACAGAGATCCGCCTGGCTCTGCCTCCCGAGTGCTGGGATTAAAGGAGTGCGCCACCACCGCCCGGCTCCCCTTTCTTTTACTATGACCTTGGCAGCTTTGATTAGCACGCGCTTCTCACCATGCTCTCTTCTCTACCACAGACCCCCAAACAAGGGAGCCAACTGACCGTGGACTGATATCTTTGAAACTAGGAATCAAACTAAATCTTTGCTTCTTTCAAGCCATTTGTCTCAGGTGTCTATCAAACAGTGGAAAGCTGATTTGCACAATGATGCAAGTTAGTTTAACTGTGTTTTTTTTTTTTCCAAAGCTCAAAGAACATTGTTGCATGAAGCTAAAACTGTCTTCTTCATGTTCGGGGGCCTCCTACACATCTCCTTGGAAGGCTACTGAACAAAAGCAGATCTTGAACCTTTGATCAGGTTTCTGGAATTGCACAGGCACCACAGAGGGACCTCCCAGGCAGACAGGGTTCTGGGTTGGTTGTCTCTGTGAAGGGCCCTGCAGCTCCTTTGTGCATTCTGGAATCCACAGAGTGACTCCATGCATGTAACTCCAGGTGGACCCTGTGGAGCCCTACATTACCTGTCACTCCATACTTGCTGTGGGTGATTGGAACCCCTACTTGTTGGCTGTGGTCAGGTACAGCAAGTCCTCACTCTGGGAGCCATGATTGGTGCCACTGAAGGTGTTCTTGTGGTACTCATTGAGGGGTGACTGTCACACCCCACACAGTGTGCACAGATAGAATGGATGGTGGGATACTCTGTCCCTAGCCTGACAGTCACCTCTTTGGTTGGGATTTTAATTGGAATGGCATTGAATCTGTAGGTCAATCTGAAAAAAAAATGTATATATGCTTTTATGCATCTAAACGAGGAACCTTCCATTCAACGGAGACAGAATTGTTGGTGTCCAGATGGTCTGCAGCTCCTTTCTCAAGCACTGACCCAGATGTGGTCCCTTGACTGAGGGAAAACTGCAGGTACAAGATCTAGATCCTAGGAGAAATGTCCTCCAGGGCAAAATAAGGCCACAAGGGCAGGGCAAGGCAACAGGAAGAACTCTGATAAGGGGGACAAAGAGACTCTTTGCTCAAGTCCTGCCTGTGGTGGGATTTCTGGTATCTAGCTAAATCATATATAAACAGCAGTGGGAAAATAACAATTGTTCATTCTTGAAGAGAACCCAGTGTTTGTGTCTCTGTCTACCATTACCCACTCCAAGTCCCCGTGATGCCCACAGCTGTGCCACTGAAGGCTAAACTGTTGCATAAGTTTGCGTTCCAAGCACTCTCCTTACTTAGACCTCATGATTCCTCTCATAAACCCACGTCACAACATTGTTTACTGGCAGTGTACACGGCCCCATCCCTTAGCACAACTAAGGCCATAAAAGTCATCAAGTAGACACAGCCACTGGCAAAAATGAAAACAAATACCTAATCCATCAAAGTCCATAGTTCTGGGCAAGTCTCTAAATATTCTAACCTTGCTTTTTGCTTCTGTAGTTCTGCTTCTGGTTAACTGTTCTTGTTAACTGAGGTGTATCAACCTAGGACGTGCTTTTTGAGCTTTCAAGCTCATCCTGAGAAAGGCTCAGAGGTACAGTGGGATCCTAAGCCCTCAGTATAGTTACCAGCCATCTACTAAAGACTCCTTTGGCTTAAACCCATTTCTGAGCAGTCTTCTTTGGTGAATACCCCACAACAAGAGCAAGTCTTCAACAAATTACCCTCTCTGAGCAGCATTAAAATGAATGCTCAGATTGGTAGTAATCTTTTGGGGTAGACATTGAAAGTCACCATAATCTCATGTCCTGGTCCTAAGGAAGCTCTGACTCTCTGCTTTTCTCACTCTCTGAGAACATGTCTTTCTTTCATTCTTTTTTCTGAGATAGGATTTCCCTGTGTAGCACCCTGGCTGTCCTGGGACTTACTCTGTAGACCAGGCTGGCCTCCAACTCAGAGATCCAGCTGCTTCTGCCTCCTGAGTGCTGGGATTAAAGGTGTGCACTACCACCAAGATCACCATCACCACTGCTACCAACAATCACCATCACCACCACCCCCCACTACCACCACCACCAGCAGCACGCCCTTACAAATTTGTGGCCACCTGCTAGGAACCCAGAGTGGACCTGACCAGAGTCCATCCTGATCAGGATTTCATTAAAGCTTGCTTCAAATGTGGCTTACAATTGTGGAACTGGTCTTTCTGTCAAGAATCTCAGGATTAACAATAATTAAACCTTTTTTTTTCTCCTAGAAGTGTTTTTATGTTGAATGGAGAAGAATGGGAGTCTTGAATATGACAGGATTGTATTACCTCTAGTGAGCCAGCAATAATTTAGGAAGCTAGGATGCTAGACAATCAATGGCCACCAAGCCACCCTGAGGTAGTGGCCTCCAGGTGCCTTGTCTCATGAATTTGAAGAATGAATTTAATGGAAGGGAGTTTCCCATAGGTACGTTACTATAGGTGAGAATTTAGATAGGAAGTGAGCAGCTCCCATGTAGCTGGAAAGGGGATTGTGCAGCACGCCCTGGGTTCAATCCCTAGCACTTCAAATAAATAGTTAAACAAATAAATAAATGTTCTATACTGGTTTTACGACCAAAATTATTAATTTAAAAACTTCTGACATATCCTCTTAGAATTTTCAAAATACATAATTGTTAAAAATCAAACAAACAAACAAACAAAAAGGGACAGTATCTTATGTTGTAACAAAAGGCATCTCCACTCGACCCTGGAGATTTCCAGGCCTGGAGCTATTTTTCTGGAATTAGAGGCAAGGGGAATCCCTTCACTTGCTAGTTCCCACAGAAGAGTAGCAGCCCTCTGCTCAACACCACTCCCTCTACCCTCAAGTGGCCCCAAATCCTCTCTGAAAGGGTTCAGTTCAAGTATCAGCATAGCAGCCTGTAAGACTTGGGATAAGGTAGAGTATGGAAGGCTTAGATTAACTGTCCTGACTGCGGCAGGACCACATTGCCCCACACATAAATTAGCTGGGACATAACTACCATAGATTGTCCCATTTGAGGTTAGATCAACCCCAGACATGAACTAAGATTCCTCAGAGCTCTTGGATTAGTCACAGCGTTGAAGAGAAGATTTCACGGAGCTACACCTGGCAGGGAGTCTGGAGTTTCTGGTTTGGAAGCTCAGGGAGGCGGGAGGCAGGGGAGGGGCCTCCAGTTAGTGGGAGGGCTGGTGACTGGAGCTGAGCCCCAGTCAGCTATGTGGCCCAGGCCTGTGGAAGTCCGGACCGTCCAGGACAAAGGATAGCAACAGTCTCCTGAATTCACTCAAGGGAACACTCCACTTGGGTCACCTGAATTGCTGCTCACTGCATTTGTCATTCTGAGGTCTCTGCTTATCCTACACCCCAAAGATGGAGGTACTGCTGGAAGTGAAAATTGGCTGCCTGCTTGCCCTTCTGGTTCTCACCCTGGGCTGTGGCCTTACTCCCATCTGCTTCAAATGGTTCCAGATGGATGCAGCTACAGGTATAGCCCCACTCTGTCTCTGTCCCTTACACCAAGGCTTAACCCAGCCCTTCCCTGACATCTGGCTCGGGTTCTCACAGCCCCCAAAGACATTGGGTGCTCTCTGTTGCTCTTCATTCATTCCCACTTATCTCGTTGCTAACTGAAGAATCACTTTGGCTTTCTTCTTAGGTCGTCACTACAGAGTTCTCAGCCTCCTGGGCTGCGTCTCTGCCGGGGTCTTTCTGGGAGCAGGGTTGATGCATATGACTGCTGAAGCCCTGGAGGGAATTGAATCAGAAATTGAGAAATTCATGGTGCAGGTGGGTAGCAGAGAAATCAAGTGAGGGGCTATGGGGCCAGAGTGATCACCAGAGGCTGGGAGGAAAGCGGGAAGCAGAAGAGCACAGAGCGTATGGTCAGCAGCTGTTGATAGAAGGGTGGACGGTGGTCAGGTTGGGCTTCCAAGGAAAGCTTGATTGCTGAAAGGGCGGGACAGGAGCTAGCGCTGCCTCAGACGCAGTCTGATTTCTGTTTCTGTCTCCCTAGAATAGCACAGGAGGTAAGGGGAATTCTTCTCATGATGCCGCTTCCAGTTCCGTAAGTATCTATTAGCGCCTATCTGGAGAGTGAAGAGAACCAGGGACTGTTCGTGCCCTTCTGATTTGTGAGGAGTACCAGGAACCTCTTCTCAGCCCAAACCATGCAAAGAGAGAAGGCGCCAACGTAACCCTTTGTGGGTGGGCCCTCAGAGGAAGCTCCTGCTCTACTCTGTCCGTCCTGCCCTGGACCCTCTAACATACTCACGTTAGCTTCCGCTGTGTCTAACCCAAGTGCCGGTTGGCCCCTCAGCCCCTCTGGGTCTCTCACTCTGCATGCCTGCTCAGCCTCGTTCCCTCTCCTGCTCTGTTGCTGCTTTTCCCTGTTGTCCTCTCTCCCCTGACCGGTGTCCCCCCGGGGTGCTGTCTCCTTCCCTTCCTGGCTCACGGGCGTCTTTCTGTTCCTAGGTGGAGTATCCCTATGGAGAGCTCGTCATCTCCCTGGGCTTTTTCTTCGTCTTCCTTTTGGAGTCGCTGGCGCTGCAGTACGGTCACGGGCATGCTGGAAGACCCACCGTGCAGGAAGAGGAATGGGGAGGGACCCACGCCTTTGGATTCCACAAGCCCCCGCCTGTGCCTTCCCCCTCACTGGGTCCCCTGCGCGCCCTCATCCTCCTGCTCTCCCTGTCCTTTCACTCCGTGTTTGAAGGTCTAGCTGTGGGACTGCAGACATCAGTGGCCGCTACTATACAGCTCTGGGTTGCTGTTCTGGCTCATAAGGGGCTCGTGGTGTTCAGTGTAGGCCTCCGGCTGCTGAAGATTGGCACCGGGACGTGGTGGGCCGTGTTCTGCATACTGTCATTAGCACTCATGTCTCCTGTGGGCCTAGCCCTAGGGATGACTGTGACTGGAGGGGCCTCAGGACCAGCGCAGGGATTAGCCCAGGCTGTATTAGAGGGAGTGGCAGCTGGCACATTCCTGTATGTCACCTTCCTAGAAATTTTGCCCCGGGAGCTGGCCTGTCCTGAGGCCCCTCTGGCCAAGTATGGCTGTGTGGCAGCTGGTTTTGCCTTCATGGCTCTTATTGCACTGTGGGCCTGAGAGATTCTTCACTGCTCTGATGGACCTATCTAGGATGGCTTCTCCTGAGGACACCCCTAAATGACTTTGGTCCTCAGACATTTTTTCAGTGAGACTAAGCAGTTACTAGGCACGGACTATCCCAGATTTTATATGTGTGAGACCCTGTTCTTGCTCAAGACTTAGAAAGGATGTTTTGTCTGAGTGCCTGTTTAACTGGAACATTGGTGTGAAGACCATCACTCCGGAGTTGCTATTATGTGTAATAAAATGCCCATTTTACCCTTTCCCTTCAACCATGCTGTAATTCACATCTCTGATAGGGAAAAAGGGAGTGTGGGTAGAACTGGGACCTGTAGTCATTTCAGTGGTTACAGGCCATCCCCCCAGACATAGAAGGATTGCTAAAACTTCAACAGCCCTTTGTTCCCTTACCCATGGGAGCTGAGAATTAGAACAGCATTTAGAGGAGGAAGGGTGTCTAAAACCAGAAACCAGGGACTAGGTATTTTTCCTTCACTAACTACCTCACCCACTCTCAGTGTCTGCCTGTCATCCCCACCAAGTTCCTATTTTCACACCGAGTCTTGTGTGGCCTCAGGGACACTCTTGCTATTCTCTGAGTTTCTCTCTCTCTGGCTGCCATAGGCTGAAGGATTAAAGCCAATGTTTGCAGAGGGGGACCGGCGCCAGATAAATACCTAGGGTGATTACTCTGAGCTGTAAGCACCTAGTGACTTTCCTTCTCCTGCCTGACCAGCTGCTACTAACGACAGTGCCCAAAGTAGCTCGCCTGGAATTGAGGAGGGACAGGGTAACTGCTCCCTGCCCTCGCCTGGCATCTCACACTTGGTGAAGAGACAAGGAAGGTGAGGGGTCTAGAAATATAGGAATGTAGGAATGAAAAATTATAAGCTTAAGAGATGGAAGCAGACAGCCATCAGCTCCGCCAACAAATAGGGATAAACCATTAGGCCTTTCTTTGTTTTACGATGGGAAGCTCTGTCAGCAACCCAAATGTTAGTTTTTAGTGATTGCTCTCTGCAGCCCTGGGGTTAGCTATTCTCAATAACCCCCTACTCTCACAACCAAAACCAAAGTTAACTTTTAATAGCTGTTTCTACATGACTCCTAGCATGCATCCCATGCCTGATGCTTACTTTTGCTATGAAAAGGGCCTTGAAACCCGCCCCTTTGCCAAAGCTTCAGAATCCCAGACTCTAACTGTGGTCCTAGATAATTGGTAAGCTTATGTCCCACAGTGATGTTCTTTTTTTCTAATAAAGTTTGCTTCTGGTTTAATAGACTTTGGTGGTCTGTTCCCCATTATTGCAGGACCCCAGACACAACAGAAGGAAAGATGTGCCCTGAAGCTCACTGGCCCTCACCAGTTTGCCCCTTCTTGTGATTTTCAGTGTGATAGCCCAAATAGCCTTAACATGAACAAACTCTCCTGAATCCTTCTTGTATTGTCTCTGTCTCCTTTCTGCCCTGTTCCTCTCCTGAAAAAGTAAGACATCTAAATCCGGTCTCCACAACCAGGGATCCATGAGAAAGCAACAGGTGGGCAAAACCAGGAGAGGGGGAGGGGGAGCTCCTCCCTGGAGCTCTGTCCTGGTGTCCTCTCAGCAGCAGATGCAGGGAGTGAGGTGCCCAGGAGAACCTGGTGTGTGCCAGTGCACTGGCCTCGGCAGGGAACACCTGCAGCGTGACAGGTGCTGTGCTACTGTTTGTACACAGATCACCTCACTGGCACAACTCCAGCAGCGACATTATCCCTCTAGTAACCTGGGAAAACTGGCATTCAGAAAAGGTAAATAGTTGGATCACTTAGCCAGTGGGGCCTCAAAACTCACTTTTCTATAACTGGATGAAAAGCTCCATAGAGTCTTTCCTTCCTTGTGGATTTCCTCCCAACAGCCATGTTCACCCTGTATGTTAGAATCCCAGATCAGCTCAGAGAGTGTGCAGCATATTTGAGGAAGCTGAATGGAAGGGTGTTCAGTAAGGTGTGCGTGGGCAGGGTTCAGACAAAGCAAGGAATGTACAAAGGAACGTAAAATACCCTAGAGCTCAGTAATCAGCATGCTCTTAGTAGAAACTGGAAAGGACCAGCCCAGACCTTGAGCTACAGGGACCCAAGCAGGAAGGTGCTAAAATAAATTATTTTCTTGTTCTGATTTGCTAATGTCTTATTGAGTAAAACCAAACAGAAGCCTGAGGCTGGAAATGGCTGGCTCTGCTCCAAGCATTGGGGAGACAGGAGGACCCTTGGGTTTGCTGCCTTCCGGTCTCGTCCAGAGAACATGAGTCTCAGGTTCAAGAGACCTTGCCTCAGAGGACCAGGCAGAGTGGTAGTGCAGGACACGTAATGCCTTCCTATACATGGACAGACACAAGCTCTTGCACACATGAATGTACACACATGTGCAAATAAACAAATCTTTTTAAAAAGCTGCAGCTGATCTAATGCAATAGCATGGCACGGAGCCACTGATTAGCCTTGCTGAATTGGTATGTATTTGCTTATCAGTAAAAATAAATGTAAATGTTGCATTAATTGTGTACACCTAAATGTTTCTTTCAGTATTGCCTGCACTTTGAAATCCTGAAGTTTAGAGTTCCTTTTAAAGGAAGATTTATTTATTATTTTCAAATTTGATGTGTATGAGTGTGATGTATACATGTATGTATGCACTGTTGCCCTGGAGTCCAGGAAAGGGTGTTAGATGCTCTGGAGCTGGAGTTACAGCTAAGTGTGAGCCTCCATGTGAATGCTGGGAATAGAACCCGGGTCTTCTGCAAGAACAGCAAGTGCTCTTAACCTCTGAGCTATCTCACAAACCCAACTTTAGAACTGTTTGTGTAAGGATTCTGTCCTTAATTACATCATCAGCCTGCGACTGCATCCCAGCCTAAAAAGTGGGTGGGCCCTCTGTGTGCCTCTCTCTTTCCTTTCTGCTCCTTCCTTCCGTCTGTTCTCTCTCCTTCTCTCTCCCTCTCTCCCTCTCCCTCTCCCTCCCTCTCTCTCTGTCCTCTCTCTCCCCCCTCCTCTCCCAATAAAGCTCTAAAATCATGGCCTATGATTCTTCCAATCAGCATTCTCCTTCGCCAGCATGGTTGCCCTGGGCGGTGGCCAGCCACCAGCAGGGCTGATTTAATCAACAGTTTGTCTTCAGTTATTATTCAAAATAAAATGCATGTCCTTTCTTAGAATTCTTGGCCAGAATGTCCTTCCAAGTCCTTGAAAGTGGTATAAGAGATGTGTGGTGACCTTTTCTTAATCATCTAGGCCAATCCAAGTGAGTCTCCAACCCTATGGAAGAATTTTCCCAGCTTCATGCCTTTTCTTGACACCCAGCATTTAGACTGAACCTTGTCAACTCATTGCAGCAATATGGAAATCCAGTAAGTACAACATCTAATTTGTCTCTCTGTGGTGGAATGCTTGTCTCAGGCCCTGGGTTCAATCCCCAGGGGAAAAAAAGAATTACTTATTAATTCATTTAATACTGACTGTACATCTCACTTGACTTTCAGAGAATCAGCCTGAGAGATACTGAGATTCCAAAACATTTAAAAGACAAGACACAAAATCAAAACTGAAGAAACATTCTTTCCTAAGAAGTGGGCATGGGTGTAGAAACAGATGGGAATTACAGAGTCCCCGGAAAAGCAGAAACATCACAAAACACAGCCTATTAAGACACATCTAAGATGGAATAAAACAAGGAATTTGAAAGTTTCCAAATAGAAAAGGGATAATAAATGAATAGACATTCATAATCCACGACATTCCCATTAATAAGGAGTACATACTCATCCTGGTGTTCTAAGACCTTCCAGGCACTCAGTAACAAAGATTGTTTGGTCTCGTTGTTGTGGGGTAAGTATCCACCAGAGAAGATTACCTGGACAATGTTTTCGTCAAGTCTTTGTTAGTCTGCCTGTGGCTGCACTGGGTGTTCAGGATCCCAGAGTCTCCTGATCCTCTCTCACGTTAAGCTTTTAGGCATTAAAACCACATCCTGGGCTGACATACTTTAGTTAACAAGAGCAGTTAGCCAGAAGCGAAACTACAGAAGCCAAAAAGCAAGGTTGGAACATTTAGAGACTTGCCCAGCACTATGGACTTTGTGGGAGTAGGTCTTTGTTTCTGTTCTGGGAAGTGGTGCTGTCTACATGCTGAGTGTTATGGCCTGAATGGTACTTCCATCTTGGAGTCAGTTGTGCTGAGGTCTGGGGGCCTACCAAGTTACAGCAGCCTGTTACGTAATGAACTTTTCATTCTTGTGTGAAGACAATAAAAAGTCATCCTTAATCACTAACATGTTTAACTAACATTCTGGTTACTTTACCATGACAAGCTCTGTGCTGCAGTGCATACATTGTAGGAAATTCTGCCGCTACACACCTTGCCTCCAGTAACATTAATGGAGTACATGGCAGACACTGGGTAATAAATCTATAAAGTAATTCTTGAATGAGGATGTTATCTATTAGCCACAAATAGTACCATGATATCGGTATGGATGCCACTAGGGATCATAAAATGGGGAATATGGGGCAGGGATGTGGTCCTTGCTTACTCTGCATACTCTCCAGCATCACACAAAATGGGCTGTGGTGCTCCACACCTGTAACCCCAGGAATCGGGAGGTAGAGGCCGAAAAATTTAATGTTCAAGGTCATTCTCAGCTATCCTCGGTCACACAGTGACTTCCAGGCCAGCCAGGGCTACCTTGAAGTGACAGAGAACCAATGAATGGACTCCGCCCACACTGGTTCTCAGTTGTAGTGTTTCACTGAGAAAAGAAAGCCCCTCCTCTTGCAACTGTCAGGTAGCCAAGGAACGCCCACTTTCCTCACCAAAATCACTAAAGACGCTAAAGGAAAGAATCTTCTTGTCTTTGGCACCAAAAGAGTGGGACTCCCATGGGTGGGTGTATCTGTAGCCTGAGGACAAACCTCTTAGCCAGCTTGGGAAAGGTAAAAGGCAAAGGGTTTATAAACACAACGCAGGTCTCCAGACAGTCCTGCTGGCCTAAGAAGGGAACTGGAGATCACAGAGGCATCACCAGGAATAATAGGTAAACTAACACAGTCCACCAATCACAGCTCAGAAGGGCTTCCCTACCCTCTATTGTAACTACCTCACCTGTCTATGGAGACACCAGAATGCTAAACCAGGAGGTGCCCATGCTCCAGATTCTATCAGAACAGAACAATGAGCAAGCCTCTTCAGCAGAGGGAGGTGGCAGGAGGCTTCCGAAGTGTGGCTGACGCTGAAGCGTCA